GGTTGAGAGTAGGGGGGGTTATTAGGGTTTTGCGAGGTGGGTGTGGGGGTAGAGGGATGAGAAACATGAGAAGGGGGAAGCTGAGCAGGGCTGGGGGGTGCAGGGGGTTTGAGGGAATGAGGAAGAGGAGAGATTATGATTCTGAGAATGAAGGTAAGAGGAATTGTAGAAAGTTCTAGAGCAAACTACAGGGGGGAATGGGGGAGCTGCTGGTGTTTTTGAGGTTATTGAGGTGGTGCAGTAGCGCGCACAGTGGGGGGACGAGAAAGAGGAATGGCAGGCAATGAAGCATTTCCTAAATTGTGGATTAGATAATTAATTTATGTGATACACAATAGACTGAATTCTAGCTTACATATTTTTTCTGTGTTTATTTCTTTCTCCTCCTTGAAATATTTCAAATTCTTTGTAATTACTGCAAATGATGTGGGCACAGCACCCACATTTCCTTCTAATATCATTTCAGCCATCATTAAAAGAATTATCTTGAGATAGAATGCAGCTGCATCTCCCTTTATCTTGGCTACAACCAACAACACACACATATATGATTTATCCTGAAGCGATATAAGTAAAAAAATTGTATCTTTGATTTACATCATGGTAAGGATGGATATATGGTTATCTCGTATTAAAAATCAAATGTGCACCAACATAGCCTAGAATTAGGGCTGTCAGAGTGAATACATATGCACTGATTTTTTTGTTTAGCTCATGCTTTTGACAATTGCCCCAGCACTTTAATTTCTGAGTAGTGTAACTTTAAAAATATGAGTGGGATATGTTCTAAATCCATCTTACATCAACTTACATCGGACCTCAATTTTAAGGAAATCCACAACCAAACCAGAACACTTCCATAAGCTATAAATTCTCTAGAAACAATACTATTTCATAATTAAAATTAAATAAAATAATTTTCTTATTCTGTCTGAAACTCATCTCTGGAATATTAATCAATTATATCCTGTCACTATAGCAAATCTGCACATTACTCTTGCATGAAATTCCAAACCAATTACAGAAATATCTAATAATAAGTGAAGATACGTACTTAACTACAATAAAATTCTAAAGCATTAACCAACTATTACAATAAATTAAAAATCATTATCTGACTTGAGCAGAGCTTCCCAACCAGCTTTTTAGTTGGAAGGGAAAAGTTGAAGTTTCAACAAATAAATTGTAATGATTGCAAGCATTAATTTGAAATATAACTGTGTTTAAAGTGGAAATCACACTAATACTATATTCAGCTACTCTCATCAAAACATTCTCTTAAGAGCAACTTCAAATGTTCACTGTGCAGATCAATTGTAGCATATGCCAGTGAACTTTCAGAACATAATCTTCCAATAATAAATTATGTGTATTTTCAAGCATTACGCCTATTTTGCTTCCTGAAAAACAAAAATATATTAATCATCACCAAAACATGTTTTTAGATATTTTCAACAATACACAGTTTTATAAAAGTTGGAGGTTCGGGATACACATAAATGCTATACAAATGTGAGTGAAAACTTGGAAATTCATGCAGTAAGTAACTGTTCTTAAATGAAGGGCAGTCGAAAAGTTCGAGTAAAGAAAAGGTCGGAATAGGAACCATTAAGTCTCACACAAATGATGTTACCCTGATATGTTAGAAACAACTTTCGTGGGGATCCCACATACGATACGCTAAAGGCCCATTCACAATGCAAAAGTAAACATAAGCATGGCGTTGACATAAAAGTTAGGACTTCGTCCATAAGCGGACTCATTCACAATGCGTTCGCATAAGCATAACGCATAAGACGTTAACTTAAAAGCTTGCAAGCTTTCTGTGCTTATGCTTACAGAAGACATAAGAAATGAACCAATCTCAGAACAGTAACTCAAAATCAAGAATCGAAATTCGAGCGAAGTCGATAGAAGAACAAATGCCATATGGGACATAGAGTCGATATCTTGAAATCGATTCTCACATCCAACCAGAAAGTCACACAGCCAATAGGGACATATTTTGCTTACGTTTATGTTCGGCATTGTGAATACTTCGGTATATCACTAATGTTAATGTTTATGTCTACGCACTACGCTTATGTTTACGTTTGCATTGTGAACGGGCCTTAAAGAATACCCATTTCCGCGAATTTGTTACTAGGGCCCGGCAATAAGATTTTCTGCCGAACATTCGCCGGTTTTTGGCGCACGATTACACATGAATACGATTACACATCTCTTACGAAGTAAGAGAGAGAAAATACTTTAAAATAGTACTTCGAAAAATGCACATTATCTTTAAAAATGATAGTAGTTTAGCGTAATTTTTCAAATTACGTAATAATATTACGTAACCGTTAATAAGTGCGAGAACGTACGAGCTGTTTAAGCAGCACTTATTTATACATCGACTCTACTTCGAGAGCAGCTAATGATGCTACAACACCACGTACTTTCTGGCATTATTTGTTATGGCTTGAAAGAGTATTTGTGTACTTCATACACGTAGGAATCTCAGGTTTACGACTAATATACGAATTGCCGTAGGAACATGTATTAATCAACAACAAAAAATACAAAAGCACACACAAATCAATTCATTAATACATTGGACTATTATCCTCGTATCATATTTCTTCCTCCACCATGCGGCGCCGTCGCATTGCCCAAACACCGCGCTACTCATATATCAGATTCCACATACATGCGTATTTTTTAAATTAAAAGAATACGTCATAACATTTGTCATGTTATGCAGAACATGTAGCTCTATAAATTCAAAAAGTTTAAAGACGTAATTGAGAGCGGTATTTTTTAGAAAATCTAGTTTTTAAAATTGCCTTCATTTCATGCAAAATTACAAAAATACTATTTTCTGAAAAAAAAAGTATGTGATCTTATTCAAAGATAAATATACATGTTCAGATTTAATTGAGAAGAAATATATCTATCGTCACACTACTGTAATTCCAGAAAGACTGCGGAATTCTCTTAACTTCCGTAATTTTTTAAAATTTAGAGAATTCAATGAAAATGGAATCTGCGCCATCATTATAAGCGTACTTTTCTCTATTCGAGAAAAAAAAAATAACGAAAAAATTTGGAACCATTTTTGAGATGATTTTGAAAATATCGTTGGGGTTCCGTGTAAAGCAGGTGGCGACTCGAGCTTGTGCTTTAAGAGAAGGACCGAAGTCAATACTATTACATACATTACATATACTTTCTCACCTTTAGTAATGGATATGTAATACTTTTTATATCGGTTATGTAATACCATTTAACAAAATAAATTATAACTAGTGGTGCTACAAATGGCACAGTCTTTCCCGTACTAGTTTTCTATTTCCTTCGGTCTCTGTAAGCTATTCGGACTTGCCACATACTCTTGCCTGCTGCCATTTATCGCCACCCAAAGTCCATTTTTCAGTTTCCTAAAGTTAGGACGGAAATCTTATTTTAAGAATATTAAAGAATCTCCTCCCAAATGGATATTTTCTTTGAAAAATTTCGAGCAGTTTTTCTGAAAATGGCATTTATACGCTATTGTAAATTCGAAATTTGAAGGTGTGTTTTCACAGAATATTTTTGAGTTTTCGAAAAACTTTATGAGAAGTAATTTAACGCACATTAACTCACAAATACAGTAATGTGAATATTACCGGCGTGAAATCTCTCCCCAAAAAATACATTTGTATAATTTTAGGGGAAAAAACAAACAAACCAAAATTAACTTTACGTCATATTAAACAGTGCAATTAGCACTATCCTTTCAAAAAGTTTATGAGAAAATGGCGTTTGAGTGTTTCCGAAAATGTGAAATTTTGAGCTTGTTTTCACAGAAAATGGGTGTTTCTGAAAACCTTTATATGGCATTATTTAAAGTACATTTTATACTCATAATTTACTTACTGATATAATAATGTGAACACATCTCCGTCAATATAAATATTAACGACGTGAGAAACACGTCAAAACAATTACTTTTTGTAATTTTTGAAAAACAAAAGAATAAAGCAATATGGCGTTTATGTCATCTCATAGACTATATTTAGCACTATCCCTAACCATATTTTAAAGAAAAAAATTGGAGTCAATTTTGAGAAAATCTGGTTTTTGAATATTTTTAAAATTACAAATATTGCTCGCAATATTGCGCGGAAACTACTAAAAGTTTCAAAAATTGAACATGGCCTTAATGAAATGATGAACAAAAAAAATGGCCTTAATGAATGAATGATGGACAACAAATTTGCTTTAAAGAAAAATCCCTATCTTCAATTTTGTAGTTGTAGAAGACACCGAAAAAAAAATCACTTGAAATTTTCCAAAATTCTGACTTAACTGTGATATACGTGTATGATAATCTATTCTTGCAAAAATTTTAAAGAAAAAAGTTTTTGAGAAACTTTTGATATTGTCCAGAGTGTTTTATAGAGTACCTCCAAGTTTTAAAGAATGTTTGAAAATCTCAATGTCCGACTGGAGACAGACGGACAGGGGTTTCTTCGATTTGCAAAAAATCCTACGCATGGTTTAGGTGACACTGACGGACGTTTCGTGTTCAATTTATTTTTTGATATAAAGGACCCAAAAATAGGTTTCTGGCTACACCACGTGTTACAAGATTTTTTCTTAATTTAGCAACTGGATTTAGTCACTTTTTCGTAATCAGGGCCCGGCAATGAATTTTTTTTCCTGCCGAAAATCCGCCGTGTTTTGGCGCATTACATGACTTTCCCCATACTATGTACATTACTCCGTATATATTTATGTATACGGGAAAGTAAAAATGAATGAATGTTTAATCATCATTTGAAATATTAGCTATTCCTTTCCCTTTACTTGAAACCCCTTGGACTTTTCAAAACAAAACTAGTTCACTATATCCGCGTTCACTATAACCGGACTCGACTGTATTTCAAAAACAAGTATTTAAATACTGCCCAACACAGCTCATTACAAATATTACAACATTTGATGCAAAAACTAAATATTTTCAAGCAAATTTCAATACAAATTTGACGATTTTAACTACTTTTCATACATGTAAATCATGACTCAACAATAAGAGGTAATTCACAAAAATGAGCTTCCGAGTCATTGTAGCATTACAATCTGATATTCCCTGAAAGTTAGTAGTATTTAATCTAGGTTTTAAATCATTTCTAAAAGATTAATGTGTAAATTGTAACCAAAGGTTGAATGTAAGAAACGAACAAAGAAATATCAAATATACAAATTCTAACTTACGCAGCAACCGAATGCAGTAAATTTGGACAGATCATTACTTTTGTCTCCCAATTATCCCAAAAATTCTCATATTTTCAAAAAATTAAACATTATCTTATTTAAAGATGTTTTTTATAAACACATTTCATTAAGAAAAAAATTATCTCTCCACAATTGTATTTGTAGGAAGAGGCCGATTTTTTCTTTTAAATTTCGCAAAAAACTGGCATTTTAACGAACTTGAGACCTGCACTATTCTTTTAAGCGTCCTTTAAGCTATCTAATGTTTCAATTTAATCACAAAAATGTTGAGCGCTTTTAAGAAACAGTTGGTTAAAAAATAAAAATTGTTTAGGTTTGACACACAATTTTCGAAAAATTGTACATGGTCTTTTTTTGAAAATCTATCTCAAAGGAACAGATTTTACTATGAGAAAAAATCCTGTCTTTAAAATTTTGGCTGTAGGAATTCCTTGAAAAAATTTTGATTTTTTTTTCAATTTTCGAAATATCGGGATTTTTAACCAACGGAAAACCTGCATCATTGTCTTAAACATCCTTCAGACTACCGAACAACAAAATTTAATCAAATTCAATGGCGCCATTTTTTTGGAAAATGTCTCAGGGACTTCATGTAACGTATCCCCTAAAATTAAAATATCAATTTCAAATTCAAGGGACCGAGACATCAGCCAAATCGATTGTGATCAATTTTGGAGAAGATCGGCTGAACTGTTCAGCCGGTAGCGTTGTTCACGGATAGGTGGACGGACGGACGGACGTTTTTGCCGTCAATCAATTTTTCGGTATTCAGGACCCACAAAACATTGACTTCGGCTACACCACATGTTAAAGGATCCCACCCCCTAAATTTAGCATATGTTTTTATCCACATTTTCATTACCAGGGACCTGTAAGAAGAGTTTTTCTGCCGAAAATGTGCAGTTTTTTTCGCGCATTACATAACTTTGTCTCCACCATGGTAGCGGTAGTGAAAAAGTAAAAATAGTTTTATATGAAAATTTTATCGGAAAATTTGGAATAGTTTTTGAGAAAATGTTTCAGCTTTTCTCAATTGCGAAATTAGAAGGTCATTTCCACTGAGTTTTAGAGACATAATTAGAAATCATTTGAAGTATCAAAAGGATAAAAAAATACATTTCCGTAATTTCTTTTATAAAATGCATTGCCATCTTTAACGTTGCTTTTAGAAGTTTCTGCACAGAAAGGTTTTTTTTATCAAAAAAATTGGAGCCTTTTTTAGAAAATCTTGTTTTTCCATTTTTTTATATTGGCCATTTTGCTCAAAATTACGAGAAAACGAATGATATTTTCAAAAAATCTACATGAGATAAATTAGAAAACTGAATGAAAAAAAAATCTTTAATTTGAAGAAAAAATAACTATTTTCAATATTGTTATTTAAGTAAGACGAAAAAAAATTAAACTTGAGTAATTTTCTGTATTTCACAGGTACAGTGAAAATTGGACCTACGGATGCCTTCTTTATAAGTGTTTTCATTCCATTGTTACAAGAAATTTAAAGCAAAATTTGGGGCCATTATTGAGAAAATTTTCAAAATGCCCTGTGAGCTTCATGTAAAGTACCCCAAAAATTTAGAGAATTATTTTCAAAGTTGTAGACCTTCCAAATCCCGCAGCATTATATAACTTTCACTATACTTCAAATGTTACTTCGTTTGTATGCACGTATATGAGAAAGCAAACACCAAAGAAAATGTACATTTTCCCCTTATACATCAAAGAATTTAAAAAAAATATATATAGGTGATTTGCATTATAAAATCAATACAGCTGAAATGTGAAATCATTTTCTGAAAAAGCTGTTGACTATTTAGAAGAGATTAAAAGAACAATGAAACAACAGGCAATAACAATGATGAATTTGATGACTATTCACAAGAATAATCAATGGAAGAAGATGCAACTGACAGTGATTAGAGTGAAATGGTGGAAAAGATATGATAAAAAAACTTGAAAAATTCAGAATTCATTTACCTGTAACTTTACATTTGATAAATTTCTCTCATCTGTCTCGACAAGTACATTTTCGTAACATCTTGTGTCCTGAAAGACAAGTAAAATATTATGAAGGTGATTGGCATAAACATTTTTTTTATTTTATTTTTTATGTCAAACAGTTAAAATTGTGTGTGAAGTGATATGGGAAGAAGTGAATTCTGTGCATGTTTTCATAATTCTTGATACCCCTAATATTTTCATAATTCTGTAACCCCTACCCTAAGCCATATACATACTAGTTGAATTTTGAATTCAGAAAGATATGAGAGAGTTTTTTTTTTTTGTTGCAAGGATTGTTAGCAAAATATTCGCTCCAATGTAATAAAAACTATTTTCAAGCGTAAATCAGCTATAGATTTGGGCTTTTATCCCTTGTCATGTCTTTTGCGAATGGACTGGAACTTGGAGAATGCTAATTTGAATAACTATATTTCACACTGAATTTTAGAAGACGTGCACAGATAATGAAATTACTTTTATTCCCAGAAGCAAAACAAGGGGCCAACTCAACATTTGTTCAAAGGATCAGGAAAATGGACGAAAACCCTGATCGAGATGGGGGTCATTGACCGAGAAGATTAGGTACAATACTTGTTACAGGTTGTTTAGAATTATATAATAATATAATACATTAAATATAATTGTTAAAATTAACATTACTTCCATATTTGATGCTCGATGTAGAACTAATTGTATAGAAACAGTTTTGCAAATCTTTTACTTGAGACAAACTTTGGTATACAATTTCATCGTTTAATGTCACATAGCAAAGTATTGTAAAATAATGTACATGTATTGTAAGTGAATGTTTTGTAGTGAGCTATTGATACTGTCATTTGATGAACATGATTATGTTGAGTGTAATAGCAATAGACATTTGCTGAAAATAATATTCCGCCCTTAAGTAAGTCATTTTTGACAAAAATCACTGATTCGTATGTCAAGAAACAAGGCAGGCACGGATCCACAGGGAGGGAAATCCCCACCTACAATTTTTCAGTAACTATTAACTAAGTAAATATTAACTAGCCACGTAACCTTCAAGCAAACATATTTTCAGATAATCATTAAAACGTATAAAGTCGTATGGCAGCATGAGCTGAGTGTAGCTTCTGTCACTTTACAAAATACGTAATATGACACATTCGAACAAAATATTTTGAATTTGCCTTCCCAAAATTGGTCTCTGGATTCACACTTGGACAAGGCAATGGTAAAATTCCTAGATTAATAAAGAAAGGATTACAAGAATCACATGGGTGGGGTTCGCTAATTATTCATACAATTCGTTTTTGTAATATAAAAGTCTGGAAGCTATAACATGTATTTTCTCAGAATATTATGCCATGTCTCAGGCAGGAATGAACATGCCCAAAATAT